TATTATTACTCGCGTGTGTGTGTATTTTTTGTTTTTGCGAGCTATGGGTTAGAGTAGTAAGATATAATAAACATAGCCATTTACACGATGGGACGACTGTTCTGTCTAAGAGAAAATTCGTTTTTCGTCTCTTGGACCGAATCAAGCGCTCGCGGGACTTAAACACAACCTTGGACGACGTGGTATACATGTGTAGGTAACACAATTCGTCGTGGAAACAACGAGATGGCGTGTAATAGTCAGTCTAATCGCAAGACGAAACTATAATATAATATTATTGTTATAGCGGATAAATATATTTTTGTTGTTTACGCCAAAGGTCGTTTGGGAGAAAAAAAAATATTATAATTTTCGTTTTTTTTCTCTTTTACGTCCATTTTTCATGCTGACGTATGCATCGTACATTATGATACACATTCCGAATTATCAGCAAACCGTCTTCGACGTCATTCATAAAATGCCTAATTAGTTATCGTAATAGAAATGTCGTTTGTGGTTTTCGGTCCTGGCGTGCAAGTATTTTTAAATCTGAAAGGAGACCGATGATTCGAACATATTTTCATCAGGTCGATTTTGAAATGGAACGCGAAGTATAATATTGTCCTCATTGTTCTCTTTCCGCGTGGCTAATATATTTTGTCAACTATAACGAAAACCTTTATTACCCATATCATATATCTATAAAGTATAACATTATACATATATATATATAATATATCATATATATCGTATCCTACTATAATAGTGTTATCAATTTTTGTTACACGTACTACGTACAAACCGCTCTCAGTTAATATATTTCCAGCCGATCCATTCTGAACATTTTTCAAAAGTAAATTTCATGTATCCCACCTAATCAAACGACACTCGTTCATTTTCGTCATCTTTTATGTAGTAAATAGTACATGTATCATCAACTAAGCAGGGTATAATAGAATGTACGGACAAATGTAATTAACGAACTTATTATGATCGTTGATCAACATACCTAATGATGGTTAATAGTATTAAAAAAATAAAACAACGCTTAAATATACTGATTAGAAATTAGAACAAAAGTTATAGTAAAACCGATTAATACTTGATTAATTACGTTGGCAGTTCTTTCTGTTCTACACCCTTTTATAAGTAGACACTAGTTCGTTGTATTATATAATATGATATTTTATTTTGGTAAGAGGGCATGTCGAGCTGATAAATCGTTAACATATGATGTATCATATCGACCCTAAATCATTTCTTTTCTACCTAGTTGAATTTAAATATACTTTATTGTGGTTATTATGTATTGTTATTTATAGAGAAATTGTCTAATTTTTTCATGAATTTATTCGTGATAGAATCTAGATGATTTACGGGATCCAAAAATACGCGCCGCTATCGACGCACTGCGTATTTCACCAACTTTGTTATTACTATTGACCCGTGCACTGATTGTATCCATATGTCTCTTACTTAGCGCACATTGTATAAATAAATACATATAACTACCTACACCGCACCATTTCATATAATATGTGGTGTACATTATACATGGTTTTGACTTCCCGTGTCCCAACGCATACATATATAATACTCTTATGACGATAACGCTACGTAGTATGTATGGGCACCTAACTCTAGTATAATATATTTTACCGTTGCGGGAGACGTTAGCTCTCTTTTAATATTGTATTCAATATTAGTATTTGGTTTTGTAAAAATCATTAATTTTATCCCCATCGCGTACCAGTTTATCGGTAAAATGCGTTAAAAAATGCTATTCATTTATATAGGAATTTGGTACACTGTTTTCTCGTTAGGACAACTACTACTCCACAGGGCATGTATCAAGAACATCTGACAGTTTTACATCGAAATTACATTTGAATAACATGTCAGCCTCCGTGATACACTGATATACGTACACTGTACGTTACGTATTGTGATCATTTTTTTCTTGAACGTGAATAGCTGCAATAATCGATTCTTATAGTTATATCAGCATTTCGGTCTTGAAGGACCGATTCCGTATACTGCTATTACACACATACATTTATCATCGGAAACTGAATTACTCGCTGTTAATAATACAATGTTTTTTTAGTTGCTGTATGTAATGTGTGCATTGTGCAGAGCTACGAAAAAAAGTGTTAACGCTTTTTGAAAGTTTTTACGCCATTTTAGTTTATTACTGTTCATTCTTTACTCTATAATAATATATAATAGTATAGCTCTGGTATCAACTATCAATAATGCATCACGTTCCACATTCCGATAATCATTATCTATTGTAATATATTACTAATGAGTAATGACTGTTATTATTTAATCGTCATTGCAGACGAATCATAAAGTTAATTTAATTACTAATATGTAATTCATAAAATCCTATACTCGTGGCCAATTCGGGGAGATTATAGTGGGTATATAGTCATTTGTTTTTATCGAACTTTAAAATGTTTATCAATTCATTTCTGTCTGAAGTTATTTAATTTTAAAAGTTATAACATTATTTTTTACTGCGCATTTTGTTTTGGGTTGATTTAGTGGTAAACTTTCCGTTTTCAATTTATTTTTCAGTTTTTATTAAAAAATATATTTCATCACTTCACGTTAAAAAAAATTGTTAAAATATTGATGTTTTGAACGTAATAGTTTCTCGCGTTGCATGTTCAAAATATAACATTAAAACGATGGGAGTTGCCACTATAATAAGTATACTGTAAGCTGCAGTGTTAAACACTAAAAGTTAAAATTCTAAATCATATTGTTGTGTAAAAGACAGCAAACAATATATTTTACAGTCATTTTTTTTAAACGTTATTTGTCTTATTTAACAATTTGTGTATGATACAAAATATACAATTTATGTTATTTATAACATGTGTATAGACTATAGCTCCATACATTTCCATACATACGCTGTTAAAACGATGCACCACCTATTTATTATTTACAGTAATTTTCTGTAATAAATTGGCATCTCGACTATTGATCTGAAACGTGTGTTCGCTGTGACCTTGAACTATATATAATATATATGTGTATGAAATCTGACTATAGGACGGACGAGACACCCATGTATACTACGCTTTGTGGGAAGCGAGTTTATTATTTAAAATTTTTTCGGGAGGGTTTCTTATAAGTATAACATTTATTATTTAAAAATCTCCCATTATATAGATGTTCGTATATTGTGCATAATATACGAACATCGAACGATAAACAGATGATATTCTCAAAAACCCTACAAGTGTTTAATATACAAATGTTTACGTTTGTAATAAATACCCTAAAGTATTTATCATCTGTACATTTTCGGTCTGTATTTAATGTATAATATATAAAGGAAATATATTTGAAATATATCGTGATAAACCGCTCGAAGTATGTGTTGGTTACACCGAAGACTGGAACCACTTAACTCGGTTTATCGCACTTCGTGTGTGTATGGACGTTAATCATTATTGACACTCTTGTTTAATAATCATACACTCAATAATAATAATATATTATCGTACAGTTTTAAATTTTAATCGCTTTGAAAAATATATTATAATATACATAATTCTTAATAACAATAATCGCGATCGTATAATGTGTATATATGTATATTGACATTTATTTCAACATGACTCACTGAAGTCGATCGTTTATTATAAGTTATAACGTATATATAATAATACTACTATATTTTTACGATTATCACGATTGCCTAATGTATTTTTGATTGGTTGAGATTAATAATTGCGTTACCCCCTCAACCCTCCATAGAGGACAAAATTAAAAATCGTCGTCTGATAAGTATGTAAAAATACTTAATGACAAAAATACAAATCCCGTTTTAAATTATATTCAGAAGTCCCTATATTAAATCAATAACAATCAATAAGTAATGATTAAAAAAAACGAGCGATTTTACGGTTTTGACTCTAGTATAATAATTATCATGCGATCTACAAAAAACGAGATTAAAATGGTTTCGGGTCGGGGGCATCGTTTCGCATACAGCCGTTTTTGAATCCAAACATCTTTGCCCCCTCCCTAATTGGGCTCCTCGGGAACGTCCTAATCCTGACCGGAACGCGAATTATTATACAGATATTATAATTGGCGCACGTCCGTCGAAGCTCGCTCGGTATATAGTAATCCGTTATAGCTCAGTAAAGTGCCGCTCTATATTAAACGCTGCGGTACAGTTGTTTAAATTTAGAGCCCGCAACCTTTTTTTTTTCACCGCCACGTTGTAAATTACTGTCACTACACTGTATTTTCTCTCTACGATGCGCTGCTGACGGTTTTTTATCGCCTCGTCTTGAATAATTAATACAACTATCTCACGTTCGTTTGATTAGAGACAACTTGCAATATTTTCTAGTTTTCTAGTTTTTTATAAGTTATATATATATATATATATATATCGTTGGTTTTTGAATAGTACGTTTTAAGTTGCGCACGACGACCTAGTTCGATCGCGCCCTGACCTATTTATAATTCGATAACTCGCCTGGTTTTTGTAACACACATAACGTCCCGCACGAGTCGAGCCGAGGAAGATGGTCTATCGACCTGTAAAATGTAAAATCTCACTATACGACTCTCCGAGAGCTGCAGTTTATCGAGCCGAATAAAATATGTGCAGCCATCGAACGGTGATTTTTATGTACTCGACGATTTTTTATTTGGTAGTCGATGGTGTTCTCGGTGTATAATAAATAATAAGTAATGACTATTATAGTATCCTAATTATTTATAACGGCATACATTTTAAACGTTGTCATTGGCATATTAGCGCATCGATAACTCTGAGAATGCTATTTTGTATAATAATAATAACGATCTCAAGATTTTCTGACGTTTAATTTAAATGTGGCGTACTTAAATATTGTATAAAATGTATTCTAATGTATCATAATATGTTAAGGTACTGCTGTTGACGATTACAATATAATTTTATATAATGTTTTAAGTTTTTTTTTTGTTTCTTAACTCACGTGGTGCGCTTGTCTGATTCGCAGGGTGGTTATCCTGCCAAATTGAAGAAAGTTCTGATTGTCACAGCGCCGCTCTGGTTCAAAGCCCCATTTAAAATACTCAGGCTGTTCGTGCGAGAAAAGTTAAGGGATCGTGTGTTCACGATCAGCTTGCCTCAGGTATGTGTGACTTTATTATATAACCTCTTGGTGGGCATTTATATTTATTCCTCTCTGATGTTTTTCGCGGTCCACCATAGTTGACCCAGCACATACCCAGGGAATCGCTGCCAAGGCATTTGGGCGGCACGGTGGACGTCGAACACGATAAATGGTTGTCCTACTGCTTGAACTACATGACGAACAGTGATAAATATGGAAGTTCGGCTATGTCCGACCACATATGCAATTCGAACAGCGCGAAAAAGGACACCGGGCCAGAGACCAAAGTATGTATACTGTAAGACTTAAGTAGCATGTACTGATCTGACCCACCGATGATAGTTTACATTGCTCTTATTACTTTTTGTAACTAATCATAATTTTTCAGACGAACAATCTGTTGAAAGAGAACAACGTCGTAAACGAAGAAAGCGCCGTCGTTAATGACAACTTGTTGTCGGGGTGGACATGCAACACGATAAATTCGAGAGGTAGGATCAGCAATATCGAAAGCACATATTATTATATTATTTTCATAGCAGGCTGTTAATACTCTTTCATGCGTTAAGTTACCAATTCATATAGCGTTTATTAATTTTTTTTATCTCCTTTACAGAAGAAATTTCTCCGATGCCTCCGTCATCTGTCAGTAGCGGGTTTTCGGACGACGACAGTTTGCGTTGTGATTCTAGTCAAAGTTTAACTATTAGTCAATTTGTTGAATACGTGTTGAAAAAGAAGAGGGCTGGTCTCATCAGAGAATATGAAGAGATAAAGACCCGTTCTTCCGACGGTACATTCACCGTTGCCAAGTATGACGAATATTTTTTAATATTTTCATGTTATCCTCTTTTTTTGTGGTACCATCTGTACCTGCGTTATTAGTTAATTGTTAAATATTTTATACGGGGCGTTGTCCGGAACACCTTCTATTTGGCGTCTTCATCCTCCGTATACGCCCTGTATATGTGACGCATATACACTCATCGTACCACCATCTGACCCTCCGTTCTGTTGTCTTACTCTGCTGCAGGGCCCGACCCAATCTGCTGAAGAACCGTTACACGGATGTGCTTTGCTACGATCACACGAGGGTGATGTTGGCGGAGTCGGACAAAGACCCGATGTCCGATTACATTCATGCCAATTTCGTCGATGGTTACAAACAGAAGAACGCGTTCATCTCAACACAGGGCCCACTACCGCACACGTGTGCCGACTTCTGGCGCATGGTCTGGGAACAGCAAGTGCTAGTCATCGTCATGACCACCAAAGTGTTCGAGTGTGGCAAGATCAAGTGCGAACAGTACTGGCCACCTGACGAGACGTCCGACGACCAGACGTATCAAAACTTCAAGGTGTCAACCACGTCTCTCAGTCAGTTCGACAATTACGCCGTCACCCGATTGGAATTGACCAACACTAACGTAAGTACGATGTTAGGTCAGGTTTTAGTTAAGATTCCATCCTTCCTGCCGATGCTAATATTTTTCGGAGTGAAATATTATTGTTAAATTTAAGGTTTAGGTTTGATTTTGTGAGCAATATACCTACTATACTCATAAATAGCAACCATATCAAATGTATGATTATTAATTATTATCATAATAATATGTATCGATATGTATTTATAAAATAATCAAAATTAATCAATTAAATATTTATAGGTATACCTACTTTACTATAAATTATTGGATTCGATAAAATATTCTGGATAAGGCTTTGAAAAATGGCACGTTCGTTCTTTTAAATAACTTTGTTATCTCTCTTCTATCCGCGATTTTTAGATAATATGCTTTTCGTATTTATTAGTTATTAGTTATTAACGTATATGCAATTAATCAATTGTAAAATACATTAATGGATCAAATCCGTGATTGAAAATGTAAAGTATCATCATAAGAATGTGTTCTATCATGACGTTTATGCGCACCTTTATTGATTCTTTCTGCAATAATTTAATTGTATACTACTGTAATTTAAAATTAAAATCACAGAGAGATGTTTTGAAAAGATATAATACATGAATATTTTGATGAAGTCATTTTGATGAAATATAGAAAGTACAATATGAAAAGTGATTTAGTTTGACAATATTAATTACAGTAGACCTCGTTTGGGACCGTCCAATTTTTCGGTCTTAACGGGGTTGATATTCATTATATATTTTAATCAGGACTAAAGAAATTATACATGTTACCGGGGTTTTCGTCTTACGGAGGTTTCCCCTTACAAAAATCTTACTGCAATTATTTTTAATACAGTTTTTCAAATAAAAGTATGTCGAATTTTAAAGTCCCTAGAGAAAACCAAATAAATTGTTTACTCATAAAGTTATAATATATTATATTTACTAATATAAATAAAAACAAATATACGTTATTACTTTTTTTTGTAATAATGCGAGGTAGGTATATCATAGTATGTAAGATGAGTAGTGTAGGTATAAAAAATATACAGATATAATTGGTCATTCATTAATACACTTCCGTGCGTTAATCGTAAAAAAGTTTTTTCAAAAGTGTGATATTTCAACATCGAAGGTTTTTTACCGTATAGTACAATATTATTCGCTTCTTAAAAATATATAATTTAGCCAAGTCAGTTCACTTTTTGTTTTGTTTTATTTTTCTTAGACCAACGAGGTCAGGCAAGTATCTCATTTCCGTTTTAACTCGTGGCCGGATTTCGGCGTACCACATAGCGCTGTTGCCATGTTGGATTTCCTCGGTAAGGTCCGGAAATGTCAATCGTCCATGTTACAAGACCTCGGTGACAAATGGGCCGGACACCAGCGGGGGCCTCCGATAATCGTCCACTGTTCAGCTGGCATCGGACGAACAGGTGAGCAAAAAAAAATATAACTTAGTAAAATCGCGTCGCCGTATTAACGCGGCGTCGACTATTACTTTATATAGACTTGTACATAACTCGTCTTACTTGTACTCCGTGATTTTTCAACACTCTCGTTTGTCCCTCAGGAACGTTCTGCACACTGGACGTTTGCATCAATCGCTTGGAGGAGACCAGCACCGTGGACATCAAAGGCGCGGTGGAAAAGATTCGGTCGCAGCGGGCCTATTCCATCCAAACGCCCGAGCAGTACGTGTTCTGCCATTTAGCTTTGATCGAATACGCGTCGGCCAGAGGTTTCCTCTCCTCGCCGCCGGACCTCAGCGACTTGAAACCACTCGAAGATTCGGACTGATCGACGACAGCAATGAAAATCGCGCATCGGTCGGGCAAAGCATTTATCAATACTTATATAGAAATTTAATATTTATATATATATATAAATATATACGTCTTGTGTAAAAAAAAGTATGCGCATACAATAAATTACGTGTGTGCATACCTACACGTTATAACACGCGTAGATAATCAGAATCGGGATGAGCGCGCCAAATTATTTATACATCATATTATATGTATATGGTCCGTTTGCGATCGTTTTCTGACATTATACTTTTGTATTCTTTTTTTGTTTTTCGTAATTATACTATTATATATATATATATAATATATATGTTTAACAATATCATATTATATTAATCTGAAACGGATCTAATCAATTCGTATCGATCTAAAGTTCATATTTTTTAATCAAAATATTATTTTTTTCCATTTCGTCTATACACGCGCAGCGACTTAATTTGTTCGTTTGCCCCCCCCCCCTCGACCATCTAAAATGTCGGCGCATTACATATTATTATTGTGTTATGTAAACAAAAATGTCATGCGATCGTACGCCTTTTACTCGATACATAACCAACTATTGTCGTCAAAAAAGAATATATTATAATTTATTTTTGCATACATTATACTATTATTATTATATTGATCAACAACTGTTTACACATATTTAAAAAAAAATCCTAATGCAGAATGTCATGTGACATTGTGCAAACGGCTTTGTTATATCATTATTATTGTGAACAAACTACCAAATTTTTTGCTGACCATTCCATGTATCTAACTTTTTTAAACATAAACCTTAAATTCGTTGTAATATATTATATATAATTTATATATATATATATAATACATATTTAATGTGATAATAATTTTTGTCAATCACGGTGAGGTACGATAAGATAATAAAATGAATCATTGTGCCACTGTATTTCATAATGTGATGCCCAAAAAGAATTTTTTATTACAATCTATATGATATTATTTAAAATTTTGGTTGTAACTCTTGTAACATAATTAAAACCATGCATGTGAATTAATAAAGTTACATGGACAAACACTGGTACATGTTTGATTAATTACAATTTAAACTAATCGAAACTATATATTATGTAATAATTTATTAATAAAGTCGAATGAACTATTTGGTTACCATTGTGGTCGTGTAATAAACTTATAATAATATTTGCAGAAAAAAGCAGTTTTTTGTGTTAAGTTATATACCCACCTGGGCATTGATTATGAATTTCGTTATAACTTTACTTGAAAGTTATTTTTATGATTAAATTTATAATCAAATTAGGGCTATATACAACTTGGACTATAAACAAGAATCGAAAAACGTTTTTGAAATCCCAGTCATTCAAAAACAAATCAAAATCATGTTCAACAATAATACATTTAAATGAATAGGTACTTGTCTGTACAAAACGATTGTGATTGATAAGTAAATATTATTTTATTAAGCAATCGATTAAAATGTACAGCATTATTAAAAAAGAAAAAACTTATATCATTATATGTAGAAAATAACTAAAACAATGTATATATAATTTCCTGCAGATAATTCATTATGTCGTCATTTAAATGCCACGTGTAAAAAAAAATAATAAATATTAAATATGCGAGAAGTCTAAAGATTGGTGTCAAAGTTAAAAAAGGATTGTGAATACATTCAACATATTTTGGAAATAAAAACATATCATACGCCTTTCTATATTCAAACGATCAAACATTACTATAGCTACCGATTATTGTCTAAGAAAAAAAATGCGACGGTCGTTAAACACAATTATTAAATAAATCAATTATCAATATAATTAGTAAATAAAATATAATAGCATTATTTGTCGCATCATGTCGAGGTCAATTGAATCAAAATAACGCTGTTCGTGTGGACATTTTTTTTTAATTGCTTATTTAATAACCGTACAACTTACAAGTCCAACAGATATATGAACATAAATATTATATTATACAGTATACTACATACATTTTTTTAGACACAAATCATGCCATCTACGTCGTGGACCAAACTATCCATCACTCTCAATAAAATTTAAGAAATATTTTTTTGATTGCACATTAGTTTCTTGAAATGAAAAAGTAAACACAAAATCGTTTGACACTTTTATATGATAATTATTTATCTACACAGAAACTGCATAATATAATATGTGACTGCAGTAGATTGTCATAGTATTGTTTTACTTTAAGTAGACACATCGGCGTAACTAGGGGGGGGGCTAAGCCCCTCTATATGTGTATTTAGCCCCTATAATATATATTGTACTTATTTTGTTATTTACATCTCGCTTTTATGATAAGTTTATACTTTAATTTTATTGTTTATTTTTAATTTTATAGGAGTTACGCTTATTGTGGTGGGGGTGTGGGGCCCCAAATTTATATTGAACATTAGTTACTATTAAATCCTAGTTACGCCTTTGAGTAGACATCACTTTAAATAATAGCTCATTACGCCAAATCTGCTTTACAGTGTACACTTATAACGATATCGTATATTAATATTACCTAACCTATCCTATAAATTATAGTACACTGTCTACTATATATATTATATATTGTCAATATATTAATTGAAAAAAGACGGTTAAGGTTTTAATGATATTTGAGAACGTCGTAACGATGATGCGAAACGTGTGTTGAAAAATATCAAAAAATTATAGATACCTAGTCGGTAAAATAAAATATTAAACCTCGACACAGTGGCATATTTACAATTTTTTTTTTTGATTGGGGGGAGGGGTTGAAATTATAAGAAATAATTTTTATAACACTCTAATTGTTATACAACTGTAACCACCCGCAGCTGATCGCACATCGTCCAAGTCAAATCACTCGCAAATGTATCAAATCGATTGAAAATACTGACGAAAAGAATAGATTTTGAAACTTGATGTACTTACCAGTTGCAGTCATAGGTATACTACAATTTCAAGTTAAAAATACCAATACAAATACGCGTATATATAGGTATCTACGCCGTGTTCATATTATAAATATTAAATATATATACAGCTTGTACCTACTCGCAGGATTGTTGTCATTGTTTTTGTAGACTTCTTTATAGCATATAAGTATTATAATATAACAATATATATTGTATTATTATGTATAGTATTATTTCGATGGGCGATACTGTAGAGACGAAAGCTCAAACCTTACGCGCTAGTCCGACGTTCATCAGTCAGCGTCATTCCGCGGGCTCGTGACGACCTGTTCGATTCTCCGATGCGTTGAAGACTCTTGCCAGAAGAGCGTCGATCCGTACTTCTTTTGGACCGACCGAACGAACTCGATAGCGTCCGCCAACAAAGTCTCTTGAAGCACCCGTTCCCGTTCGAAATCGGCTGTTTCACCCTCACGGTCTATCGGCCTGGGCATGGAGTCCGCTATTATCTTGCTCAAGTTTTTCGCCAAGTAATCCAAATCTGATGGAGTACCACTACCATTGATGTTGCTAGTGCTACCGGAATCTCCACTTCCATTGTCACCGACATCACCTGCACTGTCACTGATATTGGAATATCCACTGTCACCGACATTGTCTGCACTGTCACTGATATTGGAATGCCCACTGTCACCGACATTGCCCGAACTGCCACTGATATTGACATTTCCACTGGCGCCTATATAGTCATCACTGACATTGCGACTGGTATTGAAAATGTCCTTCGACTGCGGAGGATTTGGCCCCGAGTACTTCCAGTCCTTATCATCGGTCTTCCGCAGAATTTCCTTGATGGGATCATTTACACGTTCGTTAACTTCAATGCTCCACAAAAAGTCCAAGTGGTTGAAGTACGGGTTGCCAATCATCACGGCATCCATCAGTCTGGGCAGTTGGGATTTCAGTTTCATCACGTCCTGCTCGAAAATCGAAAATTAAGTCACTGGAATAGGCGATGATATTATATTACACACGCCAAAACCTCACTTGGACGTCGGCCAACAAGTCGTTTTTCCCGTACATCAACGTGATGGGCACCTGGATCGATGTCAGATCGTACGTGAGAGGTTCGGTAGAGTTGTACCGTTCCACGTTAGTCACCAGACCGTAATCGTACCGACCGAAAACGTCTGCAACGAAACCGTGTTAATCAGTATGGTGTAGGCATATTTTGAAAGCGAAGGACGGATGAGAGAATTTACAATTTATTTATTAGGAGTATATATATATTATGTACTAGTTCATCGTTGCCGTTGTAAACTAAATATTGTTATTGCATTTGCACACACCTTTCAATTTAATCTGCGCGAAATGCTCGGGAACCATGGATGACGTTCCCGACGGAAAGTGTCCCATGATCAGCGGGATCAATTTCTAAGACAACAAACGAATGCCAGATGACACGTCAATAACAGCAATAACTAGTAATCGCTTCCTCGTATATTATTATGTATATGGTGTATACAACGGAAATTGCGAACAATATTAATATTAGACAACTCATATTTTATTACGGTATTAAAGTACTGCGGGTCACTGCCACAGATGAAAAACATTATTCCCCTTTGGCAAATCAGTTTCTGCGTCATTTTCCCTGCACAAACAGTTGACGCGAAAATCTTTTTCGTCATCGTCTGCGGCATAACCATTCCGTTCGTCATTCTTTGGTAAGCAATCTGTACGAAGAATAGTGCGTCAATTAGTATAGTATAAATATTGAATAGATATAAGAATAATAGTTTTGCCAAAACTGCCGTCGCACAAAAACCAACAAAAAGAAAATCCTCACCACGATCACTATATTGGCATCTTACTAGCTGTAAAATCGATTCGCTCAGGGTGATGTGTTATTGGGTTTTATTTTTGAAAACTATTCGTATCCAAATTGTTTTCTCGTCGTACTAATAACAAAATACAATATCATACTTACGTTAATCATTCTCGCATATGGAGCCACGTGTTTAATCGGTGACCTCGTGTGAGTGAAATACGCTACCGGTGCGAGACTGATTTGAGATCTGATTTTTGACTGATATTCGGGTCTTGCGGAAGCCATGATGTAAAACACAGTAGTGCCCATGGAATAACCTATGTAGTGTAGCTGTGAGGTGTTTGTCTTCATCAGGATATAGTCGACCGCAGCCGGCAAATCGTAAGTTCCGATTTCGTGTAAACTACAGTGTAAAATAAAGTTTGAGAATGGAGTGGGTAAAGATTAAAAGATTGCATAGTAATATAATAAAGTGGGCATTGAAAGTACACATTATATTACATGTAATCGATTAAATTATATTTTGTAAACCCAACGGGCCATGTTACAGAGGATCTTGTACCAATAAAAAAAATTTTAAAAAGTAAGTATCGCAGGACTAATTCGGTAATATTTCTCTTGGGATTAAATCTTTAGATTTAACAACGACGAAATGCCGATTAAGCATGGTAAATAATTCTGAGGTGAATAGCACTTGAATTTCTGTCGTTTTCTTTTTCTGGTGTTCAATAAAATGATCAACACAATTATTAATTATTTTTTATTTACCATTACAAGGGACTAAAAAATTTGGAAAAAATAGTATAGATACTACGCTATAAATATTTTAAACCGACAAATATCGTACAGTAATTATAATAATTTGTACAAAACATAAAATACCTTGTAATAGTACCTACCTGAAATTCCAATAAGATTTTTGCTTGTAGTTTAGTGACACGTGTTTTCTACTATAAGTGTTACCACGGCTATTTGCCAACCACACGTCGTATCCAGCGTCGGCGAGTTGCATGGCTACACAACAATAATTGATAATTAGGAACATTATATTATGTTTTATCGTATTATATTACTACTTGTAATTGTTTTAAAGCGTAGACAGTATAACAAACTAACATAGCGCCAAGCGCAGAGATGGCAAACCTATGACACACGAATCACAGTGTGACACTCTTATGCTCTTTTAGCAGGGACACACTCAACTTGTTTTGTTTTCATTCAAACCATCGATGTAGGAAATTTTTAAGTTTAAAGAGAGGGTCATTAAATTATTTGACACTCAAGTAAAATAAAACCAACCAACATTTTCATTTGCCAGGCGAGAACAGAAAGGTTCGCCATCCCTGGTCTAGCGATTACTATCGACATTTTATATTTATATTACATAATATAACCTCTCCCCCTCCCTGTTTTTAAAAATTATTATAAAAAAATATTTTATGTATTTGTCATGTCCAAATTTCAATCAGAATGTCATCAAATTTAATGCTACACTCATAAATAAAATTAAAAAATGTGTGTTATTGGGAAGCTAAATGCTTCGATAAAATATTCTATATTAAAAATGGATGTTTGTCTGTATGTTTGTTAGCTAGAAGCTCAAAAAGTATTGGAACATTTTCAATAAAAGCTGTATCAATATAGATTCCTTTACCCTTGATACTTTGAGGGTGCTTATAGCTTATTTTTCAACGCTCATTGATAGCTATACAAGAGGGTAGCTCACACATGCGTTTACTTTTCTACTAAAATATATTTTTGTTTATTTATTGGTTTCATATTATATTGCTATTATAAGTAGTAGACATATTGCAAGTATGTCTTTTTACAAATATATTTAAAATAAATCTTCGGAATGTACCACATCTGGCGGGATGGCTAGTATTTCGAAATCGTCATTCCATTAATTCAGTGACTCAATACGTATCCTCTTCATCGAATTTCTAACTCGTAATCGTCCTATAGATACCTCAAGTGTAAATTGTTTCGTACTGATGTGATATCTTACAATAATGGTTTAATAAACATACATTGTCACATATGGCAAAGTGTTGAAAATGTTTGCCTTCTTCTATTATTTTTCTGGGGTTTTCCAGTCATATTTTTTATTCCCTCATCACATACCATACATGCATAATATCTTATCAACACTTAACAACCGATAAATGTAAAGTATATTAAATAAATAAAAAAAGGATATGTTTTATGACTTTGAATTTGTAATTTAAAATATTGATTAATACGATTTATAAGCATCTTCCACTGAATTAAATTCCCTGTACCTGCCTACATCAAAGCTATAAAATGACAGTATTAGCGTGTGAACACATACGTGGTTGGCGGTAAAATTATGTTACCTCTGCGGTGCTACCACAGTAGTGGTATTTTAATCACTCACACAGAGACGTGTTGGCTCCGCCGAGCACCCATCCTGCCGAATTTGAGAGAAACGCGTGATGGAAGAAGACAGGATGATTTCTTGTGGGCTTCTGTCCGCTGATGCTGCTGGGGATGCGGTGCAATTCAAGGATGTAACCGTCCTCCGTTATGACGTGGTGGATCTCGGCGGCGTATCCATTTTTCTTGATGATGTCCACCTATACGGTACAAAAAATATTTTAACAAACCGAAATATGTAAGGATTATATATTTATATGATTTAAGCGTAGGTAATATAGTTACAACCATAATATGTTATAATTGTTATTATTTTCAGTCTCAGTGATCAT